ATCATGTCCCTTTAACTTGTATGGTAAAACACCTAGTGTTGAGCCATAAGCACAAAGAACTGCATAAAATCCTTTTAATGACAAATTAGATTTTATTTCGGTTCATTACGCATGGGTTTTCAGGCAATGTTCCGGATTTCATGGTTTTGTTTATAATGAGTCATGGACCCCTTGACAAACAAGAGAGTAATTAAACTAACCAGGTTATCAATAGAAACTTGTGATGGATCTCCTGTTGCATATGGTTATTTTATCTTCAATAATAGTTGAGTATTATAAAAGGTTATGGCCTCTTAGTGTGACAGGGAGAGAAAGAGAGATTAAAGCCTCTGAGAACAAGAGTGGAAATACAGTCCTACCTGGGCCTTGCACAAGCAAAAAAGCAATCATAGTAATTGACAAATAAGTGGTGTTTTATTTATAGATATCTTTTGTATAACTATTGCCATTTATGGGCAGATGTGAATTTTGCTTTACAAAGATAAATAAATTTATTAAACGATTTCTTATATTGTATGCAAGAATGTGTATATATATGTGTGTGTATACACACGTAGATATATATGTAAATAGATTTACATATTTACATATATACTATGTATATACATATAAAATGAGCATATGTATTATCTCATAACATTTTCTTCAAATATTTTTGGTAAAACTTTTTATTGTTTTTCACCAAGTTATTAGCAAGCACTTTAATAAAAATAATATTTCTTTGCAAGGCTCTTTCTAGAACTATAAATCGAATTTTTACTATTAAGAATAAAAATACCACAGAGAAATAGAGGTGCTATAATTTCAAAGTGAAGTATCACCCTTAACAGAAAATGATGAATTTCCTAGGGTATTTTTAAAAGGAAGGTCAATGTTCTGTTGTAAGGGTGTTTACAGTTTTCATATTCACTGCATATTGAAAAATCATTAAACTCTGTACTTTTTTATTGCTTTCTAAAGAGACCTAAAATATATCCAGAGTGCACACTAACTCAGATTATTTGTCTGAATGAATTAGTATTTGCATTTTCAAGGTTCCTGTTGTGTTCAACGCTTTCTCATAGTGTTATTTCAAATATGTAGTATGTTAAAAAGAGTGATAGAAAAAGAAAATATTTATGAAAATAGATATGTGTATCTAGAAAATAGATATGATAGACAGATACAGTTGCAACACCAAAAGCAATGCACCATCCATGGAAGAAATCACTGATAAGCTGGAGTTCATTACAATTAGAAATTTCAACTCTGTGAAACACTATTAAGAGTCTGAAAACAGAATCCACACATTGGGGAAAAGTATTTTTAAAAGGCACATCTGATAAAGGATGATTATCCAAAATATACAAAGAAAACTCAACAACAAGAATATAAACAACCTAATTTAAAAAATGGGCCAAAGACATTAACAGAAGGATATACGTCACCAAAGATATACAGATAAAAATTAAGCATATGAGGGGCGCCTGGGTGGCTCAGTGGGTTAAATCCTCTGCCTTCAGCTCGGGTCATGATCTCAGGGTCCTGGGTTCGAGCCCCGCATTGGGCTCTCTGCTCAGCGGGAAGCCTGCTTCCTCCTCTCTCTCTCTGTCTGCCTCTCTGTCTACTTGTGATTTCTGTCTGTCAAATAAATAAAATCTTAAAAAAAAAAACATAAAAAAAAATTAAGCATATGAAAAGATGCTCCATGTCATATGTCAGCAATGAAATGCAAATCAAAACAATGGGATACCTCCACACACCTAATAGAATGACCAAAATCTGGAATACTGGCAGCCCCAGATGCTGGCGAGGATGTGGACCAATGAGAGCTCTCTTACATTGCTGGCAGGAATGCAAAGTGTCTCCCATTTTGGAAAACAGTTTGGTAGTTTCTTACAAAACTAAACATGCCTTTATGGTGTGATTCAACAATTGCACTCCTTTGTATTTACCAAAGGAACTTAAAACTTATGTATGCAAAAACTTGTGCATGGATATTTACAGTGGCTTCATGTATAATTTCCAATACATGGAAGCAACCAAGATATTTCTTAATAAGTGGATGGGTTGAATAAACTGTGGTAATTCCAGATGATGGAATATTATTCCGTGCTAAAAAGAATTGATCAAGCCATGAAAGGACATGGAGGAACGATAAATGCCTAATAACACTAAGGGAAAAAGTCAATCTGAAAAGGTTACATGCTCCATGATTACAACTATGTAAGAGTCTGGAAAATGCAAAACTTTGGAAACAATAAAAAGCTCAGCGGTTTCCAGGGGTGGAGTGGTAGTAGAGATTAAGAGGCAAAGCCGAGAAGATTTTTAGGACAGTGAAAATCATTTATATGATATTATAATGATAGTTATATGTCATTATGCTTTCCTCTAAACCCATAGGATATACAACACCAAGAGTGAAAACTAATGTAAACTATGGGTTTTAGGTGATAAAGATGTGTCAGTGCAGGTTCAACTATAACAAATGTACTGCTGTGGTGTGGGCTATCGATAACAGAGAGGCCATGCATATACTGGGGCAAGGAGTATATTGGAGAACTCTCTACCTTCCACTCGGTTTTGTGTGAACTGAAACTACTCTAAAAAATAAAATCTATCAAAAGAAAACGACCCATGCATGCAACTCTTAATGTTTCTCTCTAAAACTCATCAACTTACTATCTTACCATTTCAGGCAATTGGTATTGTAACCTTCCAGTGAAGCCAGACGACTCATCTCTTCTTTTCATATCTGCTAGGAAAATCCTGTTGGCTGCAACTTCACAACAGACTCAAAGCCTCTAGTGCCTCCACCCTAACCTGAGCTGGCAACATCACTTGTCTTGCTAACCACCACAGCTTCCTCCAAGTGCTCAGCTTCCCTCCTGGCCTCACTATTGTCTTTTCTCAACACAGCAGCCAAAATTGCCTCTGAAATAAAAGTCAGATTATATCTCTCTTCTATGGTAGTTCACCATTTCACTCAGAGTAAAACCAAGTCCTTAAAATGGCCTTCACAGTCCTATCTGATCTTCCATTCTTTGGCCTCAAGCATCAGTCAGAGTTCTCCAGAAAAACAGAGCCAATAATATATGTGGGTGTGTGTGTGTATATATATATATATATATATATATATTTCTATATAGATATATTTCTATATGGATATACACACATATATCTATAAATCTTTAGATGTCTAGAGAGATAAATACAAATATACATATTTATACATATCTACCTACACACACATATACACACACACAAAGAGATTATATTATGAGGACTAGCTCACGTGATTATGCAAGCTGAGAAGATCCCCAAGTTGCTGTCTGCAAGTGAAAACCCAGGGAAGTCCATGGTATAGCTCAGTCCAAGTCTGAAAGCCAACGAGAACCAGGAGAGCCAACGATACAAAACTTAGTCTGAGGGCAGAAGACCAATGTTTTACTTTAAGCAGTCAGGTGATGTGGGGGATTCTCCCTTCCTCTGCCTTTTGTTCTATTCAGGCCTTCAGTGGACTGCAGGGTGTGCACCCACATGGGAGGGCCCGAGTCCACTGATCTGAATAGTATTTCCATACAGAACCAGACAAACCCAAAAGTAATGCTTAATATATACCTGGACACTGCAATGCAGTCAGGCTGACAGAAAATTAACCATCACATTCCATCTCCTGATCATCTCCCTTCTTTCTCTTGCTTCAGCCACATGGTTATCTTTGGTATTTATCAAGCAAACCAGGCTTGCCTCAGCCTTAGGGCCTTACTACAAGTCTTACTTACTTACTACTTACTTACTTACTACTTACTACATAAAGACTTACTACTCGTCTTCATGCAAATCTCACTTTCTTAATGAATCTTCCTCAGATCACCCTACACACAATTGCCATCTATTCCTTGCTCATATTTCTCTTATCTTGCCCTAATTTTTTTTATCATCTCTCTTGTCACCTTCTAACATTTATTTAAATTGCTTATTTATTTTATGTACTGCTTATAGTCTGTCTCCACATCCCTCCCTCCTCCTAGAACATAAGCTTCATCACATTAGGGAGTTGGACTGCTTTGTGCCTTGAGAAATGTCCAGCATATAGTGATTGCTCAACAACTAATTGATGAGTAAAGGAGTGGCTATGCTACAAGTTTTTTAAGCATCATTTTGTGTGCTTTGATCTCTGAATATGCAAAGATGGACGAGATACTCACCCTGCCTTCAGACAGCTAACAAGCAAGCTTGGCATACCCATAAATAATTACAATACAAGATAGAAAGTATATGGTATGAGAGAGATTTAGATAAACTATTCAGAGAAGGGAAAGCTATCTTCAACCAGAGCAACAGGAAAGAGTATGAAGACACCTAATCAAGCCTGCATCTGTGGAAATGGAAAAGAATAGCATTTTAGGTAGAAGAAACAACCAAAAAAAAAAAAAAAAATCACTGATGTGTTAAAGCACAGGGAAAGACAGAAGAAAACACAGACTAATAAGTCAATATGCCAGTATTAAACCCAAATTCTGCAGCTAAGTAGCTGTGTGACCTTAGATAAATTATTTAACCTCTCTGAGCTTCAGTGTTCAATTTATGATATTGGGATAATACCATCTAGCTTTGAGTATTACCATGAGGAAATCATGAACATAAAGCACCCAGCCCAGGGACTGGCTTCCAGTGATCACTCAATAAATGAGAGCTATTATGGGAGTGTAGTTTGACTGGAGTACAGATGAAGTGTTCCCCTCAACAATGCCATTTTTCCAATAGGCAGCAAGGCAAAAATGTATTGCATTTACTCTGCACTCCTTGGGAACATTCATCTATTGTCCAACTTGAAAAATGAAGCTGAAAATGACTAGTCTTGTATTAGAAGTGTAAAACACTGAAAATGTGATGCATTGGCCTATCAGGCATACGATTGCTTTGAATATAGAAGGAATAAAAATATATGTGTGTTATATTTCTGCTGAAGATTAGTTTTACTTACCCACCAGTTTCTTTGTTTGTTTCCTTTTCAGTTGCTCCTACAATTCAGGAAATTAAATCTGGCACCGTGGCCCCAGGACGCAGTGGATTGATAAGATGCGAAGGTGCAGGTGTGCCGCCTCCGGCCTTTGAATGGTACAAAGGAGAGAAGAAGTAAGGACTTCGTGATTATTACTGTGTTTCAAGCACTTTGAGCTAATGTGTTTGTGTTTCAGATACTTACTTGAAGCCATTTCTTTAACTGGCTTGAATGATTCTCAGCAGCCTCCTTGCAGGCAGGCAAACCAAAGGGGCCCACACGGGAGGGATGAGTAGCTAATAGCATTGAGAAGAAATGTCCACTTTGGTTTTATGTGATCCCAGAAATGCCTGCAAATCCTGCACAGCTGATACATTTCACTTCTTCCCCTCCTTTGTGAACCAGCACACCATTGCTCTCGCTGGCAGCCATGTTTACTTGGGAAGGAAACCAGCTTTTAAAGGACTTGGGCACAGCTTTCATGAGTGCACTCCAAAAGCAATCGGAGCTGCTGCCTCTGCCTGGCTTCCTTGAGAAGTCTCAACCCTTTCACCTGCCTTACTCTCCCGCACAGCATTTTAACATTTCATTTTATAGAACATTGTGTTTTAGATATTCTATCACTAAAGGGCCTGTAGAGGAGATAAAATACATGGTTAAAGGACTAACCAAGGGGATTTTAGGGCTACTGTAACTTTAGCTCTATATGATTGTCCCCTTGAGGAGCCCCAGGAAAAGCCTTGACAAGAGCTATTGAACAACAGAAGACAGGACTTGACTACTTTCTCTTTACTTTCAACCAGTAGGCTCACTCAGACCTCTTCAGCTGCTCTTATCAAGCCATCAAAGAAGAGTGGGACCCCTGTGGGTTAACTGGAAGATGGAATGCAGAGGGGAGGATATTATCTATAATACATCTTTTTTTTTTTTTTTCTTTGCCTCAAAACTAGGGAAGAACGTGTTCAAGAAAATGCTAGGTTGGGCCATAAGAAACTGCCATTTTTAGTCAAAAAAGCTAAATGTTGGCAATTCCACACTGTTCAACAGATGTATCTGTGGGGTTTACTTATTTATACCATGGCTCATGACTAATGACAGCTAAATGTCTGAACTGAAAACTATAGAAATGTCATAAAAGTTTCGATATTGTCATAGTGGATGATAGTGGATGGGACCTAAGCAGGTACCTTTTTTTTTACCCTTAAATTATATTCAAAAGAAGAGTTTGTAAAAAACCTTCTCCCTCTTCAACATCAGCCTTAACAAATAAGGGACGTCCCCATAACTATCTCATTGATCTGAATAACCGACTGTGCTTTTATCTACAACTATTTGCAACTATTTTTATGCAACCTCTTCTGTAATTTGGGGTACTCAATTCTTAATTCTTTTTACTACTTTATGTTTTTACTAATTCTAAATCTACCTTTTTGGGGCTTCATAGAAGCCCCACTTTTTATATACTTAGATAAACTAGTCTGTGGTCACCCTTGTCCTACGGTACAATATTGTATATTAGCCAATAACCTTTCTCAGATTCTGATAATCCAGATTCAGAAGTTCAGTGTGTGATTCTCTATATGGACAATATCTAGAAGAGTGGTTTCCAATCCTCTGTAAGTTATGAAACACTTTTTTCAAATACAATCTTATGTGGAAGCCCAGTTAGTAATATCTATGAAAATAGGACTTTGGTAGATGTGGGATGAACGGAGCTTCGGTTCTGTGGTCTCAGAACCTTCCTTTGCAAGGGCTCTCCAGATCCCTGGTTCTTCCACAAAGTGCATTTTAAATAATGATAAAATATTTTACATATCTCTCAAAGTCCCTTTTGAATCTATGTGAGGCCTTTCTTAAAAGCTAACAGAATTATCCCCAGTAGTATGAGAGCTCCTTTGTTAAAGTCCTTTTGGTTTCCAATATTTTGTGAAATGATGTCCTGAAATTTTTTTTTTTTCTATTTCCCTCTCTTTTCCTTTCCTAAATTCAGCAACCATTGTCAGAAAAGGCTACAATCATCCTTAGTCGACTTTCTTGGCCTATAGCAAAAACAGCAAAGGACCCATTGGTGTCCACAATCATAGTTTCAGTGACTTCTTTCCTACTGGAGAGATGGACAATAGCTTTTATTATATTTTGAAAGGAGTTTAGAACCACTACTATAAAAGGTGGATTGATTCTTCCCAATCAATGCCCTTTCCCAGCACACACACCTAGAGAAAATCTGGGAGCTGTGAAAATCAAATGCACTCGTCAAGGGCAAACATACTTTCATTTCAGAGTGGAGTATACATCTGTCATTTGTTAAGTTTATATTTGAGGAAATACTCAAATTATCAAATACCACAAGAGTATATAAAGTCCTCTTAAAATTATAGTGAAACAAATTTAAGAATGTGCAAGAAATAGGAAAAAGAAGGGTTCTGGTTGCTGAATGATGGTTGTTACACTCACTGAGTTTGTTTACCATGCTACCTTCTGGGCCCAGGCCATTCAAATATTTATCTCATTAAAATGAAAAACTATCTATGTAAAAAGCATCTGCTGTTTGACAGGCAGTATTCTAAATTGTTAACAGACATTAACCCATTTTATTTAATTTTCACAACAAACTTATTAGTTAGATACTATTATTATTGCCACCTTTTGCTTGGGGGAAAACAAAGCACAGATTGTTTTTAAGTAACTTGCACAGGTTCATACAATTAGTGGAGGGCTGGGATTTGAACTCCAGAAGTCTTACAAATCTTCATGCAGAGTCCATGCACCTATTGTAGGTCATGGCACTTCAGAGACTATCAAAAATAATTTGAAATGTCAATGTTAAATGGCAAGAGTAAGGACATTGCAGGTCACTTATGAATTAGCAAAATAAAAGACTGCACATACAAACACTCACTTACGCTTTCTCAATTTACTTAGTCAAAGACACAGAAATAATGGAATCAAGGTAGACACACAGAGAAGAAACAGATACAGCACATTTCTGAGTTGTTTTCTTGACCTCAAGGTCACTAACAGAAACATGAAGCTGTCAGAGACCCTGTCAAAGTGTAGCAGAGTTTTTACAAGATCTGGAGAAGTTTTATTTCCTAGAGATATTTTTCACTTTGAGAGTACAAATATATTCAAAAATAACTTACTCTCTTCACTTCTGCTGAAGAGAATGTTTATAAAAACTCCTCTCTTTTAACTTAAGATCTTCAAAGCTGGATCTTCATTCAAATAAACATAAATAAATAAAAAAAGAGGCAGTAACTGAGCATCCTTAGTCTCATCTCTGCCTATAGTTCTTCCACATCCTATAAAATCCATATCTGGGTGCTGAGAATAATCTAAAAACCTTAAAAAAAAAACCCTGAAAAATAAAGCACAATTGAAAAGAAAACAAAGAAACAAATGCTTACTGAAGACAAATCACTTTCCAGGTTCTTTAAATTCTTTTATCTCTCTTCCTGTTCAGACTTCTGTGAAACACAATTTATTGTCCTCAATTTAATGATGGCAGAACTGAGACACAAGAGTCTTAACCTGTCCAAGAGCTCTCAACTTCAAAGATGCCATCAAGACACATTTTATTGTTAACCTCTCAGTCCACACTCTTTCTCTTGCATACACTGCCATTCTTAGTTATCTACTGCTAAATAACACATTAGCTTGAAACTTAGCAGCTGAAACCAGTAAGCATTTACTATCACAGTTTCTGTGGGTCAGGATGGGAGCAGCTTAGCTGGATAGTTATGGCTCAGGGTGCCTCATCAAGTTGCAGTCAAGTGTTATCTGGTGCTGGTCATCTAAAGGCTTGACTACGACTAAAGGGTCTGCTTCTAAGGTAACTCAGATTTCTGGCAAGTTAGTTCTTGTTATAGGCAGAAGGCCTCACTTAATTGTCTCTTCATGGGACTGCTTGATTGCCTTCTTAACTTTTCCCAGAACTACTAATCCAAGAGAGAGCAAGGTAGAAACTATTTATGACCTAGTCCCAGAAGTTATGCTCTGTCATTCCTGTAATATCTTACTGCTTATACAGGGTGACCCTATTCAAAGTGGAAGGGAAAAATGGGAACATGAATATCAAGAGTTAAGAATCATCAGATACTATCTTCAAAGATAAGCTTCTACACTATCCCCCTCATGGATGACATGGATGACAATTAAAAAAAGAAAAAAAAAAACTTTTTTTTTTTAAATTAGAAATATTAGGGGTGCCTGGGTGGCTCAGTGGGTTAAAGCCTCTGCCTTCTGCTCAGGTCATGGTCTCAGGGTTCTGGGATCGAGCCCTGCATTGGGCTCTCTGCTCAGCGGGGAGCCTGCTTCCTTCTCTCTCCCTGCCTGCCTCTCTGACTACTTGTAATTTCTGTCTATCAAATAAATAAATAAAATCTTAAAAAAAAAAGAAAAGAAATATTAGTCATTTTGACCTTTAGTTTATTACACTGTTTAGATAAGCACCATGAGAATTACTAAAGTTTTATACTTGTTATTAAAATATTATCCTTTGGTATAAAATGGTTATTTTTTTTTTTTAACACATAAGCTCTTTTAGCATACCTGGTAGGGACAGCGCTCACAGACTTAATATTGCTCCACTTGCATTTTAGTATTGGGAAAATCAGAATTTGGGGTTTAATTATATAGAAAGCCAAACATTTAAACTTTTTTTTTTTCTTGATAATAGAAAGAAATAGACTCCTTATATCCAGTGAAGGGAACTTTCAGAATAGGAAAAGTACTATTAAACAAGAATTATCTTTGATGACATGAAATGAAGTTAATTTATGGCTTGAGAAGAGTATATTTATTTAGGATTAAGACCAAAAACATAAAATAAATTTTAATGGATTAATGTTCAAGTAGGTATTGCAAAAACATGGGCTTTATATCATTTTGTGAGGATGGCGTCATCCTCTTGTAATGGTACCTACTTGGTAGGTAGATCATTGATGTAAAGCAGTGGTCCACAACATTTTTGAAATATATATTTCTGAGTAAAATTTAAAACTTGGGAAAAACTATCAGTGTATGAATACTTGTTTGTAAACTGTACATATGCACTTTTGAACTGATATTTTGCAAGCATTAAGTTGACCTGTAACAGATAAAATTTAAAAGATGAGATACAATTATAGAACAA